CTAATGCAATGTGTCTGCACAGGACTGGGGTGGCCTTTCTACATTGGAAGCCGCTAATGTGACCATACACTGAGTCTGTTTCCAGATAATCCATTTATTGAGATTCATTTTAATTTGTGTGCACAAAGTTTGCAAGGAAGTTAAGATGACATCCACTATTTATTCTGACTGGTTTGTTGTGGTGAAGTTAGACAGTGTTGCATCAAGCAAATATTAGTGCACTCTTGCATACCATCCAACATTTTTTTGATGAAAATAGGGATGTCTCATCTTACTAGGTTGCCCCAGCCACTCTGGGTAGCTTCCAACATAACGTAATAAAATATTAAACATTAAAAAAACTTCCCTATACAGGATTGCCTTCAGATGGCTCGGGGGCTGGATAACACCATACTCTTCAACATTTCTCCAATGAAAATAGGGACATCCTAAGGAAAAGTGGGAAATTCTGGGATCAAATCAGAAACCAGGACAACTTCTCTAAATCAGGGATGTCCCTGGAAAATAGGGGCACTTGTAAGGTCTGCTCTTGCCATTGTGTGTTTCTGCCACTGGCCTTATCCTTTGCTGAACAAGAAGCTCCAGATCACTTTAGTTGCACAGTTTGCATCTGAAAATAGTGAGCATCTGGAAGTGCCCTCAGGGTGCAATCCCATAGACACTTACCTGGGAGCAAGCTCCTCTCAAGACTCAATGGTATTTACTTCTGATTAGATATCTATAGGATTGCACTGACTGTATATACTAAACATAGCTCTCTATTCCCCAGCAAATGGGAAAGAATTGATATTCAGCGTATCAGTCACAGAACCATAACAATGCCAAACAAAAACTTGGAACATTTGCTTTTTTAAAAAGGCATTTTAGTGCGAAAGCAAAATGAACGTTATGAGAGAAAAGGCAGATGTGGGTGTTGAAAAGCAACAGAGGAGGCGGCAATAGCTGAGCATGTGTAATTGGAGAGGTGCAAGCAGTCAATAAAGACTAAAATCCTGCTGATCAGCCTTTTGGTGCAGAACAGAGAAGGCTGAATCTCATCCCCCGCTTCCTCTCAAACCGATTTGGAAAATTTAAACCCTTTTGTTCTGCAGGCTCCCTGGGGCGTGGGAATCAGATATGTAATAGTTACAGTACAACAAGGGCAAACAGGAGAATGCAGAAACTTAGGGGTTTTCTCCAACATCTTTTAAGATTCTTCTGTTTGTTTGTTTTTGTCTGAAATTAGTACTATTCTCCCTTTGTTTGGCTTAGCTGATGCAACAGACAAGGACCACTGCTTCCCAACCAAGTGAGTCAACAGCACTCTGGTAGTCCCCACTAGGGACGAGGGAAATATTCAGGATGACGCAGAAATTTGATTCAGTTCACATTCAAAGCTAAATCTTATTAAATTCACACTTTCTGAAATAATATGAAAACCGAAAAACAGCTGCCCTTCAAAATGTGCACTTATGTGAATTTTGTGATGCAGTTCTCCAGCCAAACAATGTTTACAAAGGTGCATATATTTGTGATGTATACTCCCAATATGTTATTGTGAGAGTGTTCACAAGCATGGTCTTCTATAGAATGGTCCTTCTGGTCGTGGAAGAAAGATTACATGGTATGCCGATGACACCCAACTCTATCTGTTGATGGATGGCCATCCTGACTCGGCCCCAGACACACTGACCAGATGTTTGGAAGCTGTGGCTGGATGGTTATGTGGGAGCCGGTTGAAGCTAAATCATTCGAAGACAGAGGTCCTGTGGCTGGGACGGGGCGATATGGGATTGGGGGGGCAACTCCCCCATCTCTTGCGGGGGCGCAATTAGTGCCAGCACCGTCCGTTAAGAGTTTGGGTGTAATCTTCGACACCTCCCTTTCCATGGAGGCGCAGATTGCAGCTATAACAAAGGCGGCATTTTTCCATCTCCGCCAAGCTAAGCAGTTGGCTCCTTACCTCTCTCGCCCTGACCTAGCCACTGTGATCCACGCGACGGTCACCTCCAGACTGGATTATTGTAACTCACTCTACGTGGGGCTACCCTTGAGACTGACCCAGAAACTCCAGCGGGTGCAGAATGCTGCAGCGAGACTCCTTATGAGGTCTTCGCTGCGAGATCACATTCACCCGGTGCTATACCAGCTGCACTGGCTCCCGGTGGAGTACAGGATCAGGTTTAAGGTGCTGGTTTTAACCTTTAAAGCCCTATACGGCCTAGGACCCTCGTACCTACGGGACCGCCTCTCCTGGTATGCCCCACAGAGAAACTTACGGTCTTCAAATAAAAACATCTTGAAGGTCCCAGGCCACAGAGAAGTTAGGCTGGCCTCAACTAGAGCCAGGGCTTTTCGGCTGTGGCTCCGATCTGGTGGAACACTCTGTCACAAGAGACCAGGGCCCTGCGGGACTTGACATCTTTCCGCAGGGCCTGCAAGACAGAGCTGTTCCACCAGGCCTTTGGCCAGGGCACAGCCTGACTCCCTCCCTCGGCAATCTTCGCGGAGCTCTGGCCCAATGGTTGCCAGTGGCTTGAATTAATTAATTTTATAATGAATGATTTTAGAGTGTTGTTTATGCTGTACTTTTATACTGTTTTATTGTTGTTAGCCGCCCTGAGCCCGGCTTCGGCTGGGGAGGGCGGGATATAAATAAAATTTATTATTATTATTTATTATTAATACAGAACTTGGAGCTTCTATCCTTGTCCCATCTCAGGTGTTGAACTCTGGTTTCTGGTAAGCAACATTCAAACCTCTACAATACTGATACTTTAAAGGGTGAGAAACATTTTTGCTCTCTTGAGCCACACCTGCCAGTGGATGAACGGTCAAGAGTCACATGACAAAGGGACATGGCTGGCATCCATGGAATGAAGAGGCATTCACATACACACACACACACACACTATCCTTATGCACCTCCCTAACCATCTCTGTTGCACTGCCCCAGCCCACCAAGCAGCTGGGTTCAGAACTGATGTGCATGCGCTTCAGAGTAGGGGGCTAAGTGCTAAATTGGATGAATGTGCAACAGATGACTTTCAGTGGGAGAGATCAGACAGCTGTTTGGAAACTTAAGGGTGTCTGTATGACAGATGGAAATGTGGGTACTGTACTGTCCTCTAAAAGTAGCAGTGGGTGGAGAAGACAGGCCTGAAAATCTCCGGGAAGCCTAACCTCCGATAAGTCAGAGAAGGTGAAAATGTGCTCCACCAAAAAGCTGCTTTACTCCCCATTTTAAAATTGTTTTTTTTTTTTTTTTTAGGGATGTGTGTGTGAATGTATAATTGTTTGAATAAACGTACACTGGGACACTTTGAAAAGAAAGAAAAGGCATAGAACCTGCCTGAAGTATTGGAAAAAGAGCCCGAAAGACAACATAGCATAGGAGGAAGTTGCGCTTACCTAGGGTTGCCATATTTCAAACAGCTTGGGCTGCTCCTGCACTCTAGGGCAGGTGTAGAGAAACTCCAGCCCAGCAGCCAAATGTGCCCTTTCTGCCTTTGTCTATGCCCCCCCACCCCCCTCGTGCCGCCTGAAGCAGATTGCTATATCTTCCTGCCGCATGACAGGGCTGGGTCCTGCTGGCCTCCTAATCAGATGCTTGTTTAAATGCTCTGTTTTACATTGCAAATGAAATGATAAAAACAGTCAAGGTTTCCTAGTGTAGCAGTACAAGCTTTAGTTCACTGGGTAAATTATATGTCATGGACCATAGGGAAACGAAAAGGAAAAGCGTTTCTTACTAGCAAGCAAGTTCATGGACTGTGTGGCAATCGAAGTTGATCCATCTAATCTGCAAAGCAGGGAGGAAGAATGTTCACTGTGGCTGAGTGGGGAAAACCCTCGCCTTCATCCCATTATTCACTGGAAAGTCCGATTTTAAAAGGTGCCATCCATAGAGATATGTGAACTGCAGGCTTATAAATCAACAAATTAAAAAGGGGATTTTTCTGATTCAACTCCAGATGCTGCTGGTGTTTGAATTCAGACCTGCATCTATAACTATTTTAAAAGGACTGGGTATAGGGCGGTATAATAATAATAATAATAATAATAATAATAATAATAATAAGCCAAGCAGTTTACATTGGTTAATGCTTAAGTGGGAAAAGGTCCAGAGGTGATATTATGTGAGTGTTCTGGAGGTCTTTCTGAGATTCTCTGGGCTAAGAGGAAAGCAACAGAAGCTTATCACAATTTCTCAAATGTATAGGGCGGGAGAGGGGGAGAACATTTCAATCTCCAGCATCCACAGCTAGGCCTGGAAATACCCTGTGCCCTAAAACCGTGGAGAGCTGCTGCCAGCCAGAGTAGACAATATGAAACTACATAGGCCAATGGTCTCACTCTACAAATGGCAGCTTCCTGTCCCTCCCCCCTTCCTTGTGTGAGATCACTGCTACTTGCAGTTGGTGGAAAGGACAGATGGGGACCTTGTGCAAGCTGAAGTTTTGCATTCAAAATGGAATTCACAGGGTCCAAGGAAGATTATACGTGGGGTAGGATTCCAATTCTCCTCTTTCCCAGTCTCAGGCCTTCGTGCCTCATTGGGTGCAAAGGCGTTTTCAACAGAGCAGCATCACACCCTGTCTCAAATTAAGCTCTCGACGCATTTTCACAGGATTTGCTCTCACAGTTTGGACTCTGAGCAGAAAGACAGAGGGGAACCCCCTGCTTCCTAAGGCACAGCTGTCCCTCCCCCCACCCCCACCTGCCTAGTTCCTGTTTAACTTTCCATGCCTGGGTACTTTTTGGCTCACTCCAGTCACACTAAGTATAAATCATTCATTCGCCAGGTTGCAAGTGTGAAAGGACTGTTCTGCCGCTTCCTCTCTTGGTTTTGTTTCCTTAGAAATGGTAGCACCGTTTTCTCCTCTTCAGTGCTGGGAGCGAGGTGGGGAAGAGAGGATTTGACAGGACTGTGTGTCCCTGGGACACAATCAATCATAGAATCATAGAGTTGGAAGGGACCCTGAGGATCATCTAGTCCAACCCTCTGCAATGCAGGAATATGCAGCTGCCCCGTACAGGGATCAAACCTGCAACTTTGCATTATCAGCACCACACTCTCTTAACCAGCTGAGCTATTCCCTCTGCTTCTGATGTTCATGTGCTGAGGGCAATTACTTTTATAGGCAAAATGGTACAACACACACATACACACCACCAGTAGAGATCAGCAGGCTTGGGGAAAGGTTTGTGTAAGTACATAACAGCTTTAGAAAAATAACTTCATGTTTTCTGGTCTGGTCCTGAGCAGGATGGCTCCTGCAAAAAAAGGTGGTGAAAAGAAGAAAGGACGATCAGCCATCAATGAGATGGTTACTTGGGAATATACTATAAACATTTGCAAACGGATCCACAGTATGGGCTTCAAGAAGCAGGCTCCTCGTGCTCTCAAGGAGATCCGTAAATTTGCAATGAAGGAGATGTGGACTCCTGATTTACGCATTGACACCCGCTTGAACAAGGCTTGGCAAAAGGAGTAAGGAATGTTCCTTACCGTATCCGTGTGCGTTTATCCAGAAAACGCAATGAAGATGAGGATTCACCTAATAAACAGTATACAGTGGTACCTCAGGTTAAGAACTTAATTCGCTCTGGAGGTCTGTTCTTAACCTGAAACTGTTCTTAACCTGAGGTACCACTTTAGCTAATGGGGCCTCCCACTGCCACTGCACCGCCGGAGCACAATTTCTGTTCTCATCGTGAAGCGAAGTTCTTAACCCAAGGTACTATTTCTGGGTTAGTGGAGTCTGTAACTTGAATCTTCTGTAACCTGAAGCGTCTGGAACCCGAGGTACCACTGTACACTGGTCACATATGTGCCAGTTACCACTTTCAAAAGCCTACAGACTGTTAATGTGGATGAAAACTAATCTTTCATTACAATAAAAATGTTATGACATTAAAAAAAGAAAAAAAAGAAAAATAACTTCATTGCTGGGGATGGGGGTAGGGACTCCAGAACAGCTTAATGGGGACTGAGCATGCTCAGTGACCATGAAATACTGATGAGGGGGGAGATAGGAATGGGAATTCAGTGGGAAGGAGAATGAAGTGGATATTCCTGAACAGGAACACTCCATACAGCAGCATTTTGTTTTCTTTTTTTAAATGATATTTATTAAAGTTTCAAAAAATACAAAAAATACAGAATACAAAAAGAAAAAGAATAAAGTTTTTAAAATATAACCAAAAAAGTAAAAAATAAAAAGAAACATACCAAATAAGACAGTTAAAAAAAACAACATTAATTTTCCATAGCCTATCTTCCCTACACTTATTTCCCCGGACCTCCTCATACCTCCCTTTTTTGTATTCCAGTTCAATTTGTTAGTTCAGCAAATCCTTACCATTAAGCTTTTACCCAATTGCAAACCTTTTTTCATATCTCTTAAAGCATTACAGCTAAAAACCTCTTAGTTTCTATCCAACATCATTCTAACATTCATTAATTTTACAATATTTCTGTAAATAGTCTTTAAATTTCTTCCAATCTTCTTTCACCGACTCTTCTCTCTGGTCTCGGATTCTGCCAGAGCAGCATTTTGTTTTCAAAACCGAATTCCTGTTCCAGTAAATATAAAAACTTTTTTAGAGTTGCGCCAGCAGCTTATGAGCAGACATCATCTTGTGATCCCGATGCTGCTCATTTTCCAGTTTCCTGCAGCGACAGGAGGTTTCCCCCTCACGTCACTGCTTGTTAACGTTCAGATGACAGGCCTTGCTTTCTTAGAACAGAGAGTGATGTCACCCACATGAGTTTCAGCTTTTAGTGCTGGTGTGCTGGGAAGTCCTTTAGTAACGGCAGAGGCTGCCCCTCACCAATTCCCAGAATTCCTTGGGAAGAGGGACCAATCATTAAACCACTCTAGCTCTGTGAGGAGAATGGAGCCTGATGTACGGCAGGCCATACATAAAAATACAGTGGTACCTTGGGTTACAGACGCTTCAGGTTGCAGACTCCGCTAACCCAGAAATAGTACCTTGGGTTAAGAACTTTGCTTCAGGATGAAAACAGAAATCGCGCGGCGGCGGCAGGGCAGCAGCGGGAGGCCCCATTAGCTAAAGTGGTGCTTCAGGTTAAGAACAGTTTCAGGTTAAGAACGGACCTCCAGAAAGAATTAAGTTCTTAACCTTAGGTACCACTGTAGCTCAAAAACGGCATGTTTGCAATTTTGTTTAAAAAAAGCTCAACAACTTTGGGAAGAATGAAAAGAAGCTCAACAACTATCCAGATTTTCACTGTATGAAATAAGGCAACCCTATTCCAGCTGGCGTATGTGGGAAGAAGCCATCTTTCAGGTAAGGGCTTTATAGGTTAAGGCCAGCACTTTAAATTGTGCTCAGAAAAGAACTGGAGATTGATACAGCTGGTAAAGCCCTAGCCTAAAATGCCCAGTTGTTATGGCCTTGTTTTGAACAAACTGCAGTTTCCAGGCCATTTTTAAGGGCAGCCCCACATGCAACACAATGCACCAGAGCATTGTGACTGGAGTGTGTGTAACTCTAAGCTCTTTCTATCCAGGTATGGGCAAAGCTGGCTTATCACCTGAAGCTGATGAAAGGCACATTTGCATAGAAAACCTAATGCAGTGCAATAAAACACGAACCCTGACAAGTAGAATAAATGTCCGCACATGAAAATTTCAAAGCAGTCTGAGGAATTGTACAAATGTAAATTGCCTGGCTAAATAAACAAAAGCTCCTGAAGTAGGCAGCAGGTGGGGGCCGTTGCTAGGTACTTACAGGACTCATGGGAGAAATTTGCATGGATACATAGAGTGCCTCTGGGCAGATTTAGATGGGTGCCTGGCCCTGACAGAGGTCTCAGCTGCAATGCATTTTGCAGTATGCCCTATTACAGGATCGTGTGCCCTGTCATTGTTCATGTTGGCTGAGGGTGATGGGTGTTGTAGTCCAACCATGGATGGAAGGTGCCACATTAGCTACCACCACTGCAAGATACTTTTTTAAAGCCTTTTTTAAGTTTAAAAGGAGGGGGAAGGTACAGGAACCTGGGGCTCAGCACAGAATAACTAAGGGCTTGGGCCCTGAGCCTTTCCAACTACCCCCCTGGTGTCAGGGGTACCTCTTGCAACTCCTCCATAGCTGCTGAGGTCCTCTCACAAATTCCACAAAAACAAATTAGATATGAGCTTGCAGTATCTCCAAATCTGGGAGAGTTATATACAGCTATTAACCAAATGAAAAACAACGAAGCCAGTGGACCTGATGGGCTATCTGCTGAAGTCCTCAAAGTGGGCGGAATTGAACTTACACAACAACTTGACAAGCTCATCAGAAAAAATTGGGAGAGAGAGGATATCCCAGAACACTTTAGGGATGCGAAAATTATTACCCTTTTTTAAAAAAAAGGTGATAGAACTGATTGTGGAAACTATCAAGGCATCTTTTATTAGCTGTGGCCAGCAAAATTATTGTAAGGATCTTAGCAAACCGTCTCCTAACTATATCCAAGGTAACCCTTCCTGAATCACAAAATAGTTTTTGGTCTTCTAGGGGGACAATGGACATGATTTTCACTGCTCAACAGCTTCAAGAAAAATGCAGAGAGCAAAACCAACCCCTGTATTGATCTGTATTTATTGACCTGACTAAGGCCTTCGACACTGTAAATTGCAATGCCCTGTGGACTGTCCTAAAAATCGGCTGCCCAGATAAATTTGTTAACATCCTTCAGTTCCTCCATGATAATATGACAGCAACCATCACAGATAACAATGGGTCTCAAAGTGAATCATTCACAGCAAGATTGGGTGTTAAACAGGGTTGTGTTATCGCCCCAATTCTATTTATTTTCATTGCCATGATCCTACACATTGTTGAAGGGAAACTCCACACTGGGGTAGAAATCATATACTGAACAGATAGAAAGCTCTTTAATCTGAGTTGACTGAAAGCAAAGAGTAAGGTTACCATAGCTTCTGTCATAGTGCTTCTGTATGCTGATGACAACGTAGTGTGTGCACACTCAGAGGATGACCTCCAAACCATCCAAAATATCTTCTCAGAAGCTTATGAAAAGCTTGGCCTATCACTCAACATCCAAAAAACCAAAGTGCTGCACTAACAAGCCCAAAACAACCCCTCTGCTGCACCACAAATCCAACTCAATGGTGTAACATTGGAAAGTGTCAATCACTTTTCCTACCTGGGCAGTTATCTTTCCACAAGGCTGACAACAATGCTGAAATCCAGCATCGCCTGAGTTCTGTGAGTGCAACTTTCTCCCGATTGAAGCGCCAGAGTATTTCAGGACCGGGACACTCTCAGGCAAACCAAAATGCTTGTTGACAAAGCTATTGTACTACCAACCTTACTGTATGCTTCTGAAACATGGACCACTTATAAACACCATCTCCAACTCCTCGAAAGATTCCATCAACGGTGTCTCTGAAAAAAATTATATATCCCCTGGGAAGACAGTCAAACTAATGCTGGAAGAAGCAAAGATCACCAGTGCTGAAGCAATGATTATTCAACATCAACTTGTTGGACTGTTCATGTTGTTCAGATGCCTGGTTATCATCTTCCAAAGCAACTACTCTATTCCAAACTTAAAAATGGAAAGTGTAATGCTGGTGGTCAACAAAAGAGGTTTAGAGACTCTCTCAAGGCAAATCTTAAAAAATGTAGTATAAACACCAACAATTGGGATGAGCGCCGCAACCTCAGAGTCGTTCGCGACTGGATCTAACGGTCAGGGGTCCCTTTACCTTTACCTTTTAGCTTGTGAGCACTCCAACTGGAGAACAGCCTTTACCAAAGGTGTCATGGACTTTGAAGACGCTCAAACTTAGGACAAAAGGGAGAAGCATGCTAAGAGGCAAACCCTCTTGGCAAACCCTCACCATGATCAACTCCCACCCGGAAACTATGTCCCCGCTGTGAAAGGACATGTGGATCCAGAATTGGCCTCCACAGTCACTTATGGACTCACTGTTAAGACCATTTTCATGGAAGGTTTTACTCGGCTATGAGTGATTGCCAAAGAAGAAGACCTCTTGCACTCATGTGCCTCTGACAGGGAAAGCGCTTGGAAGAGGGCATTTAAAAACAGGAAGCTGTCAGGCCATTGGTCCATCCATCACAGTACTATCAACTGCACTGGCTGGAAAATGCTTTCCAGGATTGCAGGATCCCTGTTCTACCTGGAGATGCTGGGGCTGAATTTAGTACCTTCTGCATGCGAGCAGATGCTGTACCACTGAGCTGTAGCCCTTTCCCACATCTTCATATTACACCGTACACAGGCAGACGGGCATAGCAGAAGGGCACCTTTGCATATTTGGATCCCAAGCCATTTGGGTTTATAGATAAAGACCAAAACCTTGCATCAAGGAATGAATAGGCAACTGGTGCACATATTTTAAGTTTGTGAACAAGCCTGGGCTTCACCCGTTAAAATTCTGGCAACCAAATTATGCAATAATAAATCTTCCAAGTCATCTTCAAGGGCAGCCCCATATATAATACACTTTAGTAATCCATTATAGTAATTACTGTGGCCAGACTAGTCCCACTCAGGAATTTATATTTGTGTATGTATTTTCTTGCATTTATATCGTGCCTTGTTTTCCGTCGTGGGACCGCAGGTGACATACATGTGGTTTTTAGACCAGCCCTTTCAGAAGGTGTATGACCATGTCTAAAACAGCCTGGAATATCATTTCCCTTCAGCTAGAACTATCTCTCCATCCACAATGCCTTTGTCTTGCCAAGATTCCTCTTCTGTTTATGAGCCTTCATCCAGAATATTATCAAATCCAGGATGCCGCACCTGTACAGCCTCACCTGACCCAGATGACAAAGAAAAAACTGACTAGTTGTCATAAGCCTACTATTGACTCTTAACTCCAAGCCCTCGAATGACCTCACCCAGTGGTTTCATATAGAAGGAAACACAGTGGAATCCTGAAAGGACCCATAACATAAATGGCTGAATGCCTGGACTCCCTTCTAATTCCAGAAGGAAACGCGAACCCTGGGTAAGTAATTGGAACCCCTGAAATCTTGCACCACTTGGATTCCAGGCACTTACTCAGGGTTCGTGTTTCCTTCAGGAAGGAGGCACAGCAGAGACTGTGTGTCTGTATGATAAATGGTTTGTTTGCATACAACCCGACAATGGAGGTTCTTGTTTCTCCCATAGGCACAGCTTTGGATTCCATAAGAAATCAGGCCTGGCTCTCTCTCCAGCCTTTGACTTCTAGTTCTTATCACTCACCTCTCCACTCTGACCTTTTGTCTTTCTAACTGATAGACAATTGAGGGAGGGAGGCCCACCCATTTGTCTTCTAGCACAGAGCCACTCCCTTTGTTAGCTTGATGACTCATACTTAGCGGGCCATTGCCAGGCTGGCCTGGCTATTTCAGCAATAACATTCATGCTGGATACAGAAATTAGAAGGGAGCCTAACCACCACCACCCCCTCCACAGAAAAAATTGCAACAATTTCATGGAATCAAGCAGAAATCCTCTACATCTACAATGTTCTGAGAACGGTCCTGCAGGTAGGAGCAGAGTCAACATATCCATGTGCAAAGCTGCTAAGCAGAAGTGGTCAAGGAGGAGCTTAGGGAAAATAAAACTCTCAGAAAATATGTGCTTCCAAATCCAGGTTTTCTATCTTTCCGAACAGCTGTTTTCCAAAAAAAATTACGAGCAAGACAAAAATTCCCCTGAAACAGCAAATGTAAAGATGGGTCAGATTTCATGTATTTTATGTGCAGTATTTCCGACATAGTATTGCTCATGCAGAGCTTCTGAAATAATAGCCAAATTCCAAGTATTTCTATAAATAACTTTCTAGAATTGGGGCATTTTTAACAAATAGTTTTAAGCAGTTATTAATACGGGCAATAAATAATTTGTCTCTTGGACTAAATTTGAATTTCTGCGAACTTTGATCCTATACTACTTTTACAAAACAATGGTTTTTTTTAATCCTTAGGGCTACATACATTTGAAATCATGCAGGTATTGTCTGTGGAAGAGGTACATTGGTAATGCGATAGATCAGGTGTGTCCAAAGTCCATTTGGGGGACCTAATCCGGCCCGCCGGTCAATTTAATCCGGCCCCTGTGGCAGTATATGTCCTCGGGTAAAATCCTTTAAAAAAAGCTCAATTCATCAAATCTGGTCCTCTTTGAAAAAAGTTTAGGCACCCCTGCGACAGATGATCCAATGGCTTGGGCAGTGAGCTGGGGTGGATAAGCTTCATTGTAAGTTCCTGGTTTTGATTTGGGGGAATCAATATATTCTTGTATTTGAAAACTATCATGCTCTTTTAATATTTCTTAAATATAACAGGGTCCATTGTTCAGTAAATGAGCTGTTCATATACCTGTCCTTTCCTCTCCATGTGTAGTAATGTTTTCTGATCTATATTGCCCCTCCTTATCCCTACTTCCTTTTTGCCACAGCAATAACTACCAAATACTTCGTTTAAAATAATAGTAATCATCAAATACCCAATTCAAAACGAGTGATTCAATTTCAGAAAGTTTCTGCAAAATGAGTTAAATTATACAACGGATACACAGCGTGCTATTTCAAATGAAAAGCTGCAGAATTTTGGTTTCTTCTTTTAAAGTCGAATTCAGTTATTTAACTGCAGGCTGAATTATGGATAACCAAGCATACATTTTCTTCTTCCACCAGGAAGTTTCAAGGCATGACCTTTGATGATACAAAGAGAGGAATGGGAATAACCCTGACTCAGAATGACACTTGACTTTAATCATTTCCATGCAGCTAGAGTTCCAATGCAAAGCAGAACGGAGCTAAATCTCCTGATTCAGTGTTCCTCATGCAAAGCAATTGAGGCTAAAGTTCAGGGGCATTTACTGAAACTGTTAACAGCCTACCAAGAACCCAAATTATACAAATTCAACACTGCCTCAGGGAGATAATGGGAATGGATCCAGCCTGCAATCCTGGCCGACATCTTCTCTTGCAAGAGGGCTGGGGAACCCATGGCCCTCCAGCTGTTGGGATTCCAACTCCCATCAACTCCAACCCATATGGCCGATTGTCAGGAATGATGGGAGTTGGGAGTTCAGCAATAGCTGGAGGGTCACAGATTCCCCATCCATGTCTTATAAAACTGCATTGATAAAATGAGACTGGACTAGAGGAAGAGACCTGTGGCTTATGTGTTCACCATGTGAAGCTTCTGCTACTGCAAACCACAGGATGCGCTATTAAACCCACTGGGGTCAACAAGGAAATCCCACAATGCTCCAGTGAAAACTGAAGATATAATTGCTTAAAATCAGCTTGCTTGCCCGTCTTCAATGTATTAAGGCAGCCTGGTGAAAGAGCTAGGTTTAAGGAAGTTTGGACACCAATATTTGTAAAGCCATTATGTTGCTGACATATGTTGTCTGTCTCGAGAGACAGCTGAGTGAACCTCAGGGGTGGAAGTCAAAACACTGTGTCAGCAACACCAAAGTGACCTCTCTAGTACTCAAAGCTGGGCAATGTGTATAGAGGTCCTGGGCTGCCCAGACTACAATAACCCCCTCTCAGCCTCGCTGATGTGGTCCAAAGGAAAGGAGAGCAGTATGTTTGGGACCAGCTTGGCTGCAGGAGTTGCCAGAAGGAGGCGTACAAGGAGCCATCCAACCATCTTAGGGACTCCACTCTGAATTTCTGTAGGGTTTACTCCTTAGCTTTTTCTTCTCCTGAAGGTACCCTGCAAGGCAGTGGAGTTTCAGGATCAGTTTTCCTTCTCCTGGATGGGCTACCTTCCCAGGTTGACGAGCCCCACTTGCCCCTCACATCCTTCGACATCACATGCAGAAGCCGCCTTCTTGACCATCCACTCCTTTATATGCTGGCCATATAAAAGCAGCAATATGGTAGTGAAGATAACCTAGTAAAGCCAGGTCAGGTAATAACTGTGAGCAATACACCAATGGCATGGGGCAAACCTCCACCTGACAAACCTGAGGCATGAGGGGTAGCTTCAAATTGGGAGTTCTCGAAAGACCCTGTGGAAGGGTCCAGGAATACCTGTGGTGGACACACTTGACCGGTGGATACATATCTGATTGGATAATGGCTTTTATTTGTGGCACAAGCTGGTATGAGTTGGGCCTTGACAAATCCCAGAGATTTTAGTTGGAGGGAGTTAAATACATGCTTTAATTTCTCCACGGAAACCAAGGGGACTGCAAAGAGGAGCCTTATGGCACCTGACATACCATGAAGGATAACGGAGGCTTTATTTTCAAAGGAACGCTGACAATTGACTGATGTGATCAGAAATGGGTTTTGAACTGACCTGGCTCCAATATGAAAATGAGTAAACAGCACGTGGGTGCAAATATACCCCAATTCGTCCCTCTCCACCCCCTGCCCTGGGTTACTAATACAGGACACTAGTGGCTTTCTTTAATGTGAATGTGTGCAAGAACGAACCAATTGCCTGAGATGTTTGATTTTACCTAACTGGGCATCAGAAAGGAGAAAGCGGATGAGCAATTCTTCAGCAGGGGTAAGAGTTTTATCAATTCAGTGCATTTCTCATTTGATTTGATTTTTTAATAAATATACACAAGTACCAAAAAAGCTATTCACAAAATATACAATATTTACACACAATATACATATTGCAAAGCATAGGGCTTGCAATATACAGCCTGAACGTTAAATTGCTACCCTTTCCTGTGGATGGAGAAGAGGACATTCTTTGGGTTGCAATCGCTCTGCCTGCCGTCCAGCACAAAGGGCCCCTGAGCTCAGTCTTTGGGATGGATTGTTATCAGTCAGTCAGAAATATATGGAATGTCTTCCAAAAGGACACAACAGATGGTGACTTGGGCCAGCCCCCTTGTAGAGCATGCACAGTGAATACGTAGGTGAACCGTCCAAGTTCTCACTCTGTTCGTTTATTTGTACAATCTACTCTCTGGTGCAAATGAGCCCAGGCTTCTTCTGGTGTCTGACAACCAAAGTTCATTCCTGCCCGAACTGTGCATTGAACTGCAGGCAGCACCTGCTGTTCTAACAACATGCTCTGTACTGTGCTGTGTGTTCAGTAATTGTTCACATTTTGCTCGCCTCTGCTTCGTGCAACGCTCCCACTTTAGCAAGGCACATGTCGTCCGCCAATGATGCAGTCGTCATACAGGAGCTAGACGAGGGGAAGAAAAAGCAGATCAGGCTTAATGGAAGGCTTTAAGAAAGAGCATGAAGTAATTCTCTAAGGGGAATACAGGGCCATTTCCCATTATCCCAAGGAAGTGTTCCATTAGATTTAGCTGCACTCACATGAGGAAAATAGCACCTGATAACACTAAAGCCTGCATTTCTAAAAACTTTTAACAGGCAAAAATCTGGACTAATATGATGCTTATAATATTAGAGGGAAGTAGAGATAACAAATGGTAGGTTGCAAATAGTACCACCAGAAAATCTATGTGCAAATGTGCTTCCTTTGAAATAACCTTACTGTAATTTTACATCCACTTTTGAAAATTTATTGAAAGATGTCCTAATCATAACATGTCAAATGCTCCCTTAAAGACAGTTTTCCTCCTTGTGTGAAGTCACTGCAATGATTTGCTAGATTCAAATGAATCTAATCAATGCATTTTCTATACCTTTGAGCATTCAGTGCTTACACCGATGGGTGACTGGTATTAACTCTGTTACCAGGCTTATACCTTCAGGGTGTCAAAGGCAAGCAAAACCTAGTCCAAGGACCCTTGTTGTTTACAACTGCTTCCTAACAACCTTAATGGGAAATGTGTGTGCAAATTATGGTAGAAATCTCTCTCTCTCTTGCATAGAATGGAGAATGGCCACTCACTTCATCCTCTGTGAACTCTGACTCTGATTCACAGCTCTCTTCGTCTTCACTTTCTGGTAGCATCTGCAGGTCCAACGTCGTAAATTGCCTCAGCTGCTCCTGTATGAAGGAGTTGTTTCTTCCCCATGTGAGCTGGTATGGAGAGTAGCCCTGGTAGGTTACTTTGTTTACATCCGCTCCGTGTTTCAACAGGAGCGACACCAGTTCTTGATTCTGTAGATCGACAGCCAAATGCAAGGCAGTCCTGCCGTTGCAAGGCTCCTGTTTATTGAAAAGAAAAGAAAAGAAAAGGGTGCGTTCAGTTAGGCCGGGCACATGCTAAGATGTTCATTCTCAAATTGCTGGGATGAGGCTTGCTTGTTTGAAAATGGCAGGTATCTTACCTGAGCATTGACATCTGCTCCCAAGGACAAGAGGCGTTCTACTATGGCCAGGTAACCTTGAATAGCTGCCAGATGGAGACACGTGTGTCCTATGAAACAGAAATGGAGGAGATTAAATTTCATGTCATACAAGTCATTCCAACACTTGGCTATAATTATCAAATCATATACACTATAGCCATTTAAAGATGGCCTACTCTGATCAAAGAAGCTTGATTATTTGATTCCAGTAGGTGACTACGAAGCAAGAACAAGGAACACCCTCCCCTCCCTTCCTTGGCTGACACTTGCTATACAGAAAGAGCTGGAAAGAACTCTCTGAATCACAAGGCAATGTAGCACAGTGCCAAGGGCTGGAGTACCCAGTGAGCTGGCAGCTCAGACTCAGAATGTGTGCTTACCATTGTAATTGGACGACTGTAGGATAGAGTCGATTTGTTGTTTCTGGCAGTACTGTGTGAGGACACCGACACCTCTGAGAGAGCCTTGTTCGCAAACGATATGCAGCGGGGTGTTTCCTCGGAAATCTCTGATCTCTGCGTCACATCCAGCTTTCAGAAGAGTCTCTGCGATTTCTGGCTGGTCTGTTATCACTGCCAAGTGAAGTGGAGTCTGCAAATTGGAAGTTGAGAAAGCATTATAGTTAACCAGAAAAAAGAAAAATCTCCTAGACTAGCCATTATAGTACACAAAACAATCTTCTTAGTCATCACTCCTGAACCCACTTCTTGAGGAAAGTATGTTTTCTCAGGATCAACCACTTTCCATAAATCCTTTGAAAAGTTCCTCAATGTTTTGCTTTTTGTCATGCGATACACTTCTGAGAGAACAATCACTGTTGTGTTGGTGGTCCAATTTTACTATACTTCGGAGCCAACCATGAAAAGTCACTTCCACAAATTGCTGATTTAAAGCTCCTTGTAGCCTGAAAGACTTGCCCTAAATAAGGCAGAGGGAGCTTGTGGCTCTCCAGTTGTTGTTGAACTTCAACTCCCATCAGCCCCAGCCAGCATAGCCAAGAATCAGGGTTGACAGTAGTTGTAGGCCAGCAACATATGGAAGGCCACAAATTCACTCCCATTTTCTTGGGAGCTCAACCCCATCAATGAGCCAAGGTTATTGATGGGGATAATTATGCTAAAAGGTGGCAATTTTATGAGTTACTTAAACCCCTTGAATTTTTTCCTAAATTTATCTTTTCCTCCCACCAAAAAATGTTTCTTTTGGAGAGCTTCCAAGTCCCCTAGGGCACCATGTTTGAGAGGAAAGAAAACCCTGCCGGGTAAGTACCTGGTTGAGGTTATTTTGGGTATTCAGGAAGGCTTTGTCTCGTCCTGCCTGGCGAATGATTTCCAAACTCAAGGCCTTTTCTTCATGTATAATTGCCAGATGGAGAAATCTGCAAAGAGGAAAACGGTGGGAAAAACCCGATGGTGAGTACTTAAGAAAAAACAAAGGACACACACACACAAAAAATTCCCAGCCACCTCTTGCTAATCAGCTCTTTTGCTCTTGCTCGTCATCGGCAACGTGCCCAGGATCCGAGTCATGATGGAGGAAGAACATCAGCCTCAGCGGCAAGAGAGGCGATTTCGAAAGCCTGGGGTTTTCGAAGCCGCGTGCTCTCGCTACCTGGTGTTTTCCGCGGAGTTGTTGTGAGCTGAGTGTTCCGGGCAAGGCGCCAGGGACTTTCCAGAGCGCTTCCCCCCTCCCGTGCGCCCCGCCCGGCGCCTCCTTCAAGCCCCGCCCCCTCGCAGCTTGTGAGAACACCCCGTCCCGGCCCCTATCCGCTGGCAGCCGGCCCAGGCACAAGGCGGAGCGGGCGGGGAGGGGAAAACCCAGACTTGCAAAAATCCCCGGGCTTTTATGTAACCAGCAGAACGCGAGCGACATCAAAGGACCTCTCCCCCCCCCCCGCACACCCCGCGTTCTATTATTAAAAATCTACATAGTAGGCTCCTCGCTCCCCCCTGCAAGGCAGCCTGTGCAATAAACACAAATGCGGATGGAGTCAAACACGAGCACTAAGAATCTACATTCTTGTGGGGGGGGGAGGGGGGTTTAAATGCGTTTGGCTCGCTCTACTGATTGTTCTACTCTGCTGGGTCAGTAACTCAGAACTATTATGAAGGGCCCCGCTTTAAAAGAGCTAGCGAATTTCCTGCAGGGTCTTTTTCGCCGCTGCAAATGCGTAATTCCCGGGGCTTCAAGCAAGCTGAAATTCAACCGCGCACTGCGTGCATCCTCGGGTCTTTTGCATGCATGCCGCCATGCTAACCTTAGCTCTCAAACCTCTTTTAAAAACTAAAGAGGCGTTTAAATTTAAATAGCAAATTTGTCGCCTTTCAAGGGGGGAAACAAATCAAAAGGATCGCGGTCTCCCTTGCAGTGCCCAGCTGCCCCCACCCGCCACATTTCCTTCTTCGCGATAGTCCCGTGCTACATTTTCTAGAGAGTTTCCTTCACAGCTAGGGAACAGAGGCCACCAGGCTCTTAACCACATTTGCTTGGAAATAAGCCCCATTAATTCCAACCAGATCTATTTCCAAGGAAAAGCATTAAGATCTCCACTTTGCTAACTTCCGAGGGAACGCAAGGCAAAACCGCCCACGGAGGTCAAAGTTCCGATCCCCTTCCCCGAATTCGCAAAGTCCTCCAAGACTTACGTGTCTCCGTCTTCGGTCACTTGCAGTTTCCAAGCCTGCGCGCCCTGGCCGGGGCCGCTCTGGAGCCCCGCGGAGGCTTCCGCCGGCTCGATGCGAATGTCTCTTAGCTCGTTGACGAGCTTCTCGTACTCCTCCTCCTTCATGGAGTCCAAGCCGCTGTCGTGGCGGTCGTCCTGGACCAGGCTGAGCTGCCTGTCCTTCTTCAGCGCGTCCCGGGGGTGGTTGTCCATCGTTATATCCATAGGGTAATCCAGGGAGCCGGGGCTGAAAAACATGGCCTGGGCGAGAACGAGCCGCGGGTCCCGAAGTGTGCAGTTGCCTTGCGAAGTCGTGGCGAGAAGCTGACGGGCGGCGGCGGCGGCGCTTGCCTATACAGCCTCGGCGGAGGGGATTTCTGCTCCGGGGCGGAGCTTGCGCGCTCGGGAATTTCCCGGCCGAGTCGGGCCAACTAGTTCAGTCCTGTCTGGAAGCTGCTGCTGCTGTGGCAGCAAAGGCTGTGGCCGAGGAATTCCCTTCCCTAGTCACTCGCTGGAAATTTTTTGCTTTTTCCACAGAAGGGAAAGTTTTTTGGATGGCTTTCTGTGACTAAGGCGCCCACCCCACCCCTCGAGGCCTTCCACTCCTCCAGGCTTTTCCTCGATGGGCTTTCGGGATATGTAAAAAAAGGAGAGAAAAGAATTCACGGTCCTTCTTTTTGGGATTTCCCTCTTGCCTTGATATTTTAGATATTTATAGCCCTAAAATACCCTGGCCCTGTTTTAAAGGGGAGGAGTGGAAAGAGCAGGCAGGCCTTGCAGGACGGACACCAGCACTTAATAGGGCCACAGTGCAATATTTGTAGGGGTGCCTGAACTTAGAACTGTGGAGGAATAAGCCCCACATACATTGCAAACGACACAGTCTTTCCAGTACTGTAGAGAATGCTGCAGAGTCAAGCCCTTTCCATAAGGCCACCTTTTTGCAAAGGAGTATGGTGCACACTGAGGTGTTGCCAGATTGTGGGTTGTGTGTGTGCCCCCCCCCCCCCCGTTAATAGCATAGGAACCCAACATGAAAAACACTGTAGGATTGCCTTGGCTTTATAATAGATGTACCGGTACATTCCACCTTTGCATGAACATCCAAAGCAGCTAACACAAAACACTATGCAGCAGGTTACTGGATTCTTCTCAGCTTTTTATTAATTATATTGGTTATACAACATGGTTAAAGAGCAACAATGGGTCTCTGCCCTGAGGAACTTACATTAGGACCTTTCTTTTGTTGTCTGCACTGGAAACCCCGGGCCTATGAATAGTGGAATGGGCTTTACACGTCATTGTCCGAAGCATGTTCTGGGAAAATTTCAGGGTTTATTTGCTTCAATCAAGAGTTTCTGAAGAAGGATGATCAAGAAAGGCAATAAAAAAGACTTCCCTGAAAGATAGCGTGCCTGCTGTTACTGATCACTTCCTGCAATGTGCAGTTAGGGGGGAAATATTGTGGGTGTTCTGGGCTGCACAACTCCAGTCTTTGAAAGATCAAAGAATCCTGAAAAGTTAGGTTTGCAACCTGGTGGAGACTAAGGAGCAAAGACAGACAGAATCAAGAGCTTGGCAGAATCTGGAGTTTATTGCCTTTCCAAATCTGAGTACTGAGAAATGCCATTTTAATTTACAGACCAGTGAAATATAGAGGAGGCTTTTGCCATTTTCAGGACTATTGCCATCAGTCTCAGTTGCTGTCATCTAGATAGGCAGATGTCCTCCCATCTCCAAATTCCTTTATGCTTTTTCTCCTCTCTCCTGCTCTTGAATTGTAATCTAAGCCATATACTGTACTTTGCACTGACAATGAAACCAGGACGCTAGGGGCTTTCAGACAAGTCTGAAGAAACAGCCTCTCTGCTGCCTTGAAGAGGAAAAGGAGTCTATAGTCAACTACCTGCAGTGCCATCTAGTGTAGAATAAATCATAGGACATTTAACATAGGAGACCTGGATTTTCCTTAAACCAGTCTGTCTGCCAAGGAGGTGTATTGGGACTGGTGCTTTTTAACCTGTCCCTAAAAGAGCTGTGCCGAGTTTGCAGGTGACGCGCAGTTATTCAGGGTTGGGAATTAAAATGGCAAATGAGGTTTATTTATTATAAGGAAGTGTAAAGTGATGCATATTGGGGCAAAAGATTCTAACTGCATGCTTACACGCCTGGTGTGTGACAACTGCAAAAAAGAGTTATGTGTTAGGGATCAAAAAGCACAACTTCCAATTGTAGAGGCTTTATACAAATCTTGGATATGCAACCACATTTGTCCAGTTTTCATCAGCTCATCTAAAACACAATATTGTGGAGCTGGAAATGGTGCAGTAAGGGGCAACTAAAATGGTTAGCGTCTTCGAACGACTCCCTATGAGGGAATGTTTCACTGTTCGGAGCAACTTAGTTTAGGGGGGGAAATGCAAGTAGTGGGGGATATGACAGAGGTTTATACAATTATTCATGGCATGGGTAAAGTGTATTGATAATTCCCCCCTCTGTCTTATTAATACTATCTAGGATTGTTGAATAAAGCTGAATGGTGGGAGATTTAGGACAGGCAAAAGAAGTGCTGCTTTGTACAGCGCAGAATTAAATCATGGGATTTGCTATTCCAAAATGTCATGAGCAGATGGAATGGCAAGGCACTGTTACTCACCTGACCTCCTGCTTATCAGAAAATAGAGGTTGAGGGGTGAGGAAGAAGCAAAATTGATGCTGGTGCTCCTGCTCTGTGGGAGATAGCGTGCGGCCATGTTTCCCCCTTGATAGACCTATCATTGGTTTTAAACTATCACCTATTCTTGTATCAGCTAATATTAATCTGTATCATCAGCATTTATGTGAATCTAGAAGGTCAGCATTTATTCAGTGGAATTGGCTGGAATGTTATGTCATTGCCGAAGTATGAGTGGCAGGGACTATTTGTCTTAAAGAGATTAGGCGGACTGAGGCCCACAACAAGATCATGGGCTCTGTACACTTACCAAGCATCTTACATGCATGAGATCAGCAGGAAGGCCTATCTCTTTTGGCCGGTTGCCACATCTCTCAAGGCAGCCTATGGTCTTGGAAGATCAGAACCATGGGACTGCTAAGCTAGTTGCCAAGGTGGCTGTGAGCAATTACCCACATCAGCCTCGTCAGTGTAAGGCAACGGTAGAAACAGGAGGGTTGAAGGCACTGTATTTGGGAACCCATCATTAGAGGAACCCGGGGTGGTGCTGTGTGTGATCCAGTGCCAGCTATGAGGGGGTTTGCCCACTGCCGTGCCAATGGGTTTTCCTGGTAGCTGTTTCATGTATTTATTTTAGTTTGATAGAATCATAGAATTGGAAGCGACCCTGAGGACCATCTACTCCAGGGTTTCCCAAACTGTTTCCCCAGCTGTTCTTGGATTACGATTCTCATCATCCCTGACCTGCTAGCTAGGGATGATGGGAGCTGTAGTCCAAAAACAGCTGGAGACCCGAGTTTGGGAAACCCTGATCTAGTCCAACCCACTGCAGTGCAGGAATATGCAGCTGTCCCATCTGGGGCCCAAATCTGCAACCTCAGCACCACGCTTTATCCCACTGAGCTATCTATGCAGTAATATGCTTTACTGTTTCTGTGAACTGTATCCAGCTGTTTAGTAATACAGTGGTGCCTCAGGTTACATACGCTTCAGGTTACAGACTCCGCTAACCCAGAAATAGTGCTTCAGGTTAAGAACTTTGCTTCAGGATGAGAACAGAAATCATGCTCCAGCGGCGCGGCAGCAGGAGGAGGCCCCATTAGCTAAAGTGGTGCTTCAGGTTAAGTACAGTTTCAGGTTAAGTACGGACCTCGGGAACGAATTAAGTACTTAACCCGAGGTACCACTGTATATCCTATTCAGTCTGCTTAGATGTAACTGTGCATTATTTTAATTATTCTTGCTATTCTTACAATCCTCAGCCACTTATTGCCTTTGAATCCAAAAGGAACCACTGCTTTAGGCAGAACGACATTTGGCCTTGGCAAAATACTCCACTGACTGATGTTCATTTACATTGGAGCACCAAACAAGGCTGCCCACTGTCCCTGGTGCTCTTTGTGATTGTAACTGAAGTACTAGCCAAACAGGGAGTCAAAGACAAGATCAATTTATCCACAGATAATGTGGTATAAATACTCAGTGACCCAAACCAGGTGCTGGCTCCACTGAAAGAAGAGTTGGATTAGTTTAGCAGGACAGCAGGATTTGAGATTAACTGTTCTCAATTGGCTGTAATGCCAATAAATATGCCTCAAATTGAGTGAGACAAACTCTTCTCCATGCCTTGTTACAGAGTGTTCAGCTGCTTGGGTGTGCTAATCCTGAAGGACCAGAACCAGTTAAGGAAAAGGAACTATGGTATGTTAAACAGAATACAAAAGCTGGCAACATTTGCACTTGTCATGACCATTATTCCCAAGGTTTTGTATCTTCTCCTGATCCTCCCTGTCACATTTCCAAAACTATGGTTGATGAAATGGCAACCTATTATGAAACAAGTTTCTAACAAAAGGAATGAACGGCGGAGTGGGTAGCTGCATTTTGTACAAATAGTGTGATGTTGTGAGGGCTGGGGGGGGGGGAGCTGTTAATGCCAAACCTTAAATTGTATTTTGAAGCTTTTGCAGCACATTAAGGTAAAAAGGGGGCACGGGTGGCGCTGTAGGTTAAACCACAGAGCCTAGGACTTGCCGATCAGAAGGTCAGCGGTTCGAATCCCTGCAAAGGGGTGAGCTCCCGTTGCTCGGTTCCTGCTCCTGCCAACCTAGCAGTTCGAAAGCACTTCAAAATGCAAGTAGATAAATAGGTACTGCTCCAGCGGGAAGGTAAACGGTGTTTCTGTGCGCTGCTCTGGTTCGCCAGAAGCGGCTTTGTCATGCTGGCCACATGACCTGGAAGCTGTACGCCGGCTCCCTCGGCCAATAAAGCAAGATGAGCGCCACAACCCCAGAGTTGGCCACAATGGGACCTAATGGTCAGGGGTCCCTTTACCTTTACCTTTAAGGTACTAAAAGGCTCCATACACTTCCCATGGGTACAGCTGGAACTTGCCCAAGTTGCAACTGCTCCTTTTGTTGCCAGTCTCTCGGGTTAAAATATGCAGCATTCCAAACCTCTTCCTAAAGGCATCATTAATGGTTTGGTATTGCTGGAGACTTAATCCCTGCTCCATTCATCCATCGTTCCTGATGTAGTTATATTTCCCAAACCTGGAAGTAGCTCCAGATGTGTGTAAGCAAAACCAAGCCCCCCCCCCCCCCGTTGCTATGGGTGTTTGTGTAGGGGTGATTTTTATCAGAGTTGTGGCTGGAGAGGGAAGGATTACCCTCCCACCCCCATGTGTGGTGGTCCTGATGAAAATCTGAGGCTAAGATTAAATTGTAAAAATCCCCTTTCATGATTGCGAGTAATGCAAGGAAAGGTAACACCTGGTTTCGCCTCCCCAAGTGGCTCTTTCTCACATAACTTCAGTTCCAAATCTGTACATCAAGGATATGATCAGTCATCTTCTTCAGCAAGGTATCATGAGGATGATGAGACAAGAATTGCAGCACATGGGACATTCAAAATGTTACATACATTTCTAAATAATCACACATGATGTCAGGCAACCCAACACATGTTGACTGTTAAGTTAGAAAGCACTAACCCTACCTCCTGCCAACAGCAGCAACGCAGCAACACACACACACACACACACACACACACACACACACACACACACTAAGCTAGATCACCATCTGGGCGGGGGGAAAGGCCTATATGTTTAGTCCTCACCCCTCCCAAAGTTACTGGTAGTTTATCTGTTGAGCCTTCCAGTTTAGTGGAGCTGTTCTTGAATGCCATGTCAGGTAGTAATAAGACTATGCTCATCCACAACTTGATCATGGGTGAAAGGACTGACCTGGTGCATTTTACCATGACTTGGGTGGATGAACTGGACGGCCCAAATCTAACTCAGCCATGCCCATCTGGGTACGTGGTACAGCACCAGGCCAGACCGGAGGCTCAAGGTGTTGCTATGGTACTTCTGTGGACAATATCATTGAGCCGAAAACCTCTTGATCTTGCAATCGGCTTAGATGCTCTGCCCCTGCACTCCTTTGTCATGGTCAGACCATGACCTAGTGAAGTTTGGAGTGGCAATGTATGGGTGGTGCGCCCATTTGGAGACTTATGGGACCTGAGAAGTTCCTGAATGCTCTGGGGAATCATCCAGTAGAAAAAACTTGATCCTGTTGATCCCCTGGTCTCGCTATGGAATAGCAAGATTTAACAGACTGTTAGCATGATCATTCCTGAGTGTCCTATCCATTGTTGCAGGAAGCTATAACTTGTTCAAGCAGTATATAAATTTTGTTATTTCTATAACAAAATTTATTTGCTATTAAATAGATGTTACTTAATAGTACTCAAAATCTGGCAAGGCCAGTCTTATCTGAGGTGGCTTTTTTCTCGCAAGGCCTGCTCCAAATCACAAGAAACTAGGACCATTTCCAGCTTTTGAGGCTCGTTTTTGCCAGAATAAAATAAAAATAAAAATGATAACATAGACAAGCAACATAAGGCAGCCCCCTCCAAAAAAGAATGGTTTGTTTGTATAACCAGCTGATCTAAGAGGGCGCATCTGTCATGGCCTAATACTGTGCCATAAGAATGTGTACATTTTAATTAACATTAATGAACATTAAAAACTCTTCAATACAGTACAATCGCATCTTATGCAGGTGTTTGGTTCCAAGGGTTCTGTGTATATGCAAAAACGTATACAGTGGTACCTCAGGTTACATACGCTTCAGGTTGCATACGCTTCAGGTTACAGACTCCGCTAACCCAGAAATATTACCTCAGGTTAAGTACTTTGCTTCAGGATGAGAACAGAAATTGTGCTCCGACAGCACGGCAGCAGCAGGAGGCTCCATTAGCTAAAGTGGTGCTTCAGGTTAAGAACAGTTTCAGGTTAAGTATGGACCTCCGGAACGAATTAAGTACTTAACCTGAGGTACCACTGTACTCAAAGCATCCTCTTGGAATTGCCCTCACACAAACATCCCAAACCTTCTGAAGCTGGTGTGCTGAACAGGCCTTGCCCCCACCAAGTAAGGCCCCCTCAGCACAGTGGTTTTGGGATGCTCTCACGAGATCTCACAAGACTGTCCCAGGTTCCCATGAAACCTCACGTGAGCATCCCTAGCCTTTTGAAGCTGGTGCACTGAGAGAGGCACTTTATTGTGCCAGGTTTTCCCAGTGTGAAAAGAGCTTTAAAGCTCTCTGCCTTGCTTGCGTTTAACTTGCAGAAATTCAACCAGGTGGCCTTCAACCATGTGTGGTTGAAATCGCACAAGTTAAAGGTGCGTAAGATACAATTGTACTTTAGGACAAAATCGGTATCAGTTCCCTCTTCAGAATCCCCAATCTGAGAATCATAGAAATGTAGAGTTGGAAGAGATCCTGAGGATCATCTAGTCCAACCCTCTTCAATCCAGGAATATGCAGCTGTCCCATACAGGCATCAAACCTGCAACCTTGGCCTTGGGGTGTGTGGTTCTGGTGGCTACTGACAGCAGAGATGCTGCTGGTAGGAGCTTCTGCCTGCCCACTGTTTGGGCAGGTGCACTGGGGTGCTTCTCGCCAGTGGGGGCTCCCCCCACAATGGCAGCCCTCACAGGCCTGGCTGGAGGGACGCCTCAGTTCCTTTCAGCCTGTTCAGGCATGGCACTTTGCCATGCTTTAAGCAAAGGACCGTGAGACCTGGAATCCATAAGTTCCTGGGTCAAGCAGAGGAGAGGCACACCCACAGAAATAATAATTGCTGTGTTTTTAATACCACATTATCCAGCTTCCTCTTTATATTTTAGTTGAGATTCCAGCAGCTCAAGGGGTTGGACTGGATGACCCTCAGGATCCCTTCCAACTCTACAATTCTATGATGAAATATTCCATGTAAAAAGGGTTTGATTCTCCAGGGTCTAGATCACACACCCGTTTTATGCAAGAACGTGCCTGCTGAGATTGTTTGGTTACACACATTCATAGAAAAGGACCTTCTACCCAGATTAGTTGAGGAGAAGCCAGAATTTGTTCACCTCTCCATGACTCAGGTGGCTTGCTTCAGGTGTTGGCTGCTGCACTTGTAAGGCACAGATGGCAGGGGCTGTTGAGAAATAATCTTTTCTCAAAGGCAAACAGTGCAATCCTGTACACGTCAACTTAGTTGTAAGCCCCATTGACTTCAGTGGATCTCTCTCTATGGTGAGTATCAGATTGCATGCAGCTACAGTTACTGAACACTCTTGTTCTTCTCCTGAGTAAATACACCAGAAACACCAGATGGGTCACATCAAACTCCCTACCAACCTGCACCAGCCTCCCTGCCTTAGTGACCTACCTGTCAAGAAGCTAATGGACTGGCACTTACCCACTCAGCAAACCAGTTCTGTAATCCATG